AAACTGACAACACCATGCCCCCTCCTCCCCCAAGAAAAACGACGATAAAAAACAAGTCCACGAAACACTACAAAAAAAAAACTAATGACTGAACAACACGAAGCCCATCAAAAACCAAGGGAGAACTCAGGAGCTCAGGTGTTAAACATCGTCTACAGACCGGGTAATGCCAACCTTTTCTCTGATGTTGATGGTTTGTCAAGGTTACCAGGACTGCTCGAAAAAAAACCACACTTCTAGTATGTGTATAAGGAATCTATGAAGGTCACCTGCAACTTGCAACACGTTCAGTCATACTTACAATGTTTGTCATTTTCAACGACACCAGCTGAAGATGCATCCTTGCCACCTAAATCTATGGTCATCATCAAATTAAGCACAGAAGAACGACATGGCAATGAAAGAATGATTATACTCAGTCCATGAACACAGAAAGCAAGCATGTGTACTAGCTAGATAGAACACCATAGAAAATCTAGTTCATCGACAACTTTGACAAACTTAGAATAATAGATGGCACACTATACTGAGACCAACATCGACCAAGAGCCAATGTCCTACCAGAAGCCTGTATTACAACAGTCCTAACAGCTCTTCGTGATGACATGGGACATCAGGGTCGTAATAACTCACTTTACTATTCAGAGATCGCTTTGTACGTTTATATTTTTTTAAGTTATTAAGAAACTATGGTTCAACTCCCTTACGATAAGTTGACCTTGGATGGCATTGGATATTATTTTTAGGTCCTTTTTGGTCATATAGCTCTTCAACTGTTTCAGATCTTATACATCATTTTCTTTGAAATATTCGGCTTTGATCGTTTTTATGAAGGTAAATCCAGAAAAGCGCGTGGGACGCGTGTAATTTATAAAGTGTTGTTTTCCTTTTTTTTATGGTATGATATTAAAACACCACTCATCGAGTCTTGTTAACCATTTGAACTTGTACGCATGGACTACCTGTCATTAGAGAAAATATAAGGTGGCTAGTTGACCAGAGACACACAATTGCTCTACAATATTTATCATACCGTCGGGCATATTTCGTATGTGATACGGTCATCACCCGGTGTTGTTGTCTTCTTGGTATTGAGAGCTTTATCTAGTTCGTGTTTGTTTAATACTTTTAGTATGTTAATCTTGCACCTGTTATGTTGTTCGTCATCGTTCCTATTAATGGGAATTTTTTATTTCGAATTTTATTGTATGTGTTCCGAAAGACAGATCTAAGTTATCATCATTTGGGAGCTTTGGCAAATGTTCCAGCGAACATGTTACCTTTATTTCTATTTTTATATTGCTTGACTGGAGTCATACATAAGTATTGAGGCGATTTTCAAAACCTTTCTCGAGTTTCGAACATTCGAAATTCTTTAGTGTTGCTGCAATAGTTACATTTTTGCAAATCTTATTCGATGCATTGATAAACTTAAAGGAAATTGATAACTTTCGTCTGTATTCAATTAACTGGCCATTAGGAGATCTGTTTTTTTTTCACATAGTTACTTAAGTTTTAAATACCTGTCAGTTTCAGTGTTTCTAAATAATAAAAATGCCAAGGAACTGTTGTAATCCGACTTATTTCAATTCTCCAATTGTAGGTTCCATATATAAAAATATGAAGATGTGGTATGATTGCCAATGAGACAACTCTCCACAAGAGATCAAATGACACAGACAGTTACAACTATATGTCATCGTACGGCCTTCAACAATGAGTAAAACCCATATAGCATAGTCAGCTACAAAAGGCCCCGAAATGACAAATGTAAAACAATTCAAACGAGAAAACTAACGGCCTGATTTAAGTACAAAATAATGAACGAAAAACAAATATGATATACAGCAACAAAGACAACCACTGTATTACAGGTTTCTGACTTGGGACAGGCATATACAGAATGTGGCGGAGTTAAATTAGTTTGAAGGCGACAACCGTCCCCTAACCTGGGACAGTGGTGTAACAGTACAACATAAGAACAATCTGTAAAAATCAGTTGAAAAGGGCTTAACTCATCAGATGGATACAAAGCAGAAATACATCTAACAAAAACACAGAGTGGACGTGGCAGGGTACCTATACATCCCCACAACAAAAAGACACTAATTACAAATCTGAGAGTACTCGCAGTTACTGACAGCTAGTTCAAAGTCAATAACAACTAATAAAAAAAAATCATGCATCTAAGACCAAAATATCAATCGGTACACATCCAACATTCAATGGATTTAGTGTAAAGACGTCATTAACAGTCAGGGAAAAAAAACATGACCTTGTGCAATGCTAAGATACAGGTATCGACAGATTGTAGAGCCATGCATGTGCATATGTATATAAAAATAATGTTCATTTAAATTATAAAGGGGATACTAGAAGGTCTACTTTGAATTGGATCAACTCAACTCACTTAAAGAGTACACAACATTTAATAGAAGGAAGCATATCCTTCTTAATCCTCACTATTTTGAACATCGGTCACCAAAGTAAGACTGCTAAATAAACTATCCCTTATTTGAATGTTCACATTTGAATATCCAATAAGTTATGGTACCTAAATGAATGGGTTTTAATCAATTTTGAATAGGGTTAAATTATTCAATGATACCTTAGGAAAGTTCAGTGAAACTAACATTTTTTTGCTATTGGAATATTTACAGAGCAAATAATAACGTTTAACTGTGATCTCTAAATGTTGAAACATTTATTGTAACTTTTGTGTGTTTTGACCAGTTTGTTCTGCATCTGTCGGGTAATAGCCTCCAAGAAGTCGACGATACTGCTATATGCTAAGCAATTGTTTTCTAACAGGGTCTCACACACTTTCTGATCAACTACTTTCCATTCACACTCAGTCGAGTTGTTTTACCATAATTATTGGTTTTGTCTACAAGTTTGATATCTGGTTTGGAATTATTTTCACAAAGAAGCTATTCAGTTTGGCAACTCTTCAAACATTTCTATTAGGTTTTGGTATTCCAATATTTTGGCCTAAAGACTTGTCAACAGCCAACAAAACAACATAAAAGAGCCCATGCCGTCACCTTTTCTTCGTCTGTGATTATTTTCCCTTTTGAATATGGGTTGTCTGGCTTTCTTTGGCTTATGGTTTAAGATAAAACCCTTGATATCTTATCCCCCACTTTATTCATTATGTCTTTATTTATTATTCCCATTCATGTCTATTGTGTGCACGGAAATAATATAATTTGAGTTTTATTTATTTGTGAAACCTTTTATAAAACTACATACTTATTTGACCATTGTTTTGTATTATCCTTATTATTTCCTTTTCCGAGTTTTTCATTGTTGGTGTATTTGCTTATCTACTTGATGTCCTTAGTAAAAGCCTTCATTTCCGGACAGAACCCAACACTTCTAATATAAACAATATCATGAGGAAATTTAAATTGACTTTGCCCTTTTGATCTGAAACAATAAATAATTGTGATGTTTTCCAAAATTTGTCATCGAGCGAACCTGATGACTGGTATTTATAAAATGCGTAAATCAAAATTTTAACATCTGCCGTGCCGCCACTTATATATATATATATATATATATATATACTGTTTGCTGATAGTTTGAATTTTTTTAAACTCATTGTTCAAGGAAAATTTTCGTCAAAGTTTTCTGGTTTTCAATGAAAATGTATGATCAGTTACGCTTCAGTATACATACAACCTCAATCAATTAATGCAGCGATTCAGGTCAAGAACCAGTATGTTTTAACTGTGGTAAATCCAAAACTAGCTTTACTTCGCTTGATGTCCTAGAACTGTTAATTTTTTTCTGATTTTTAGTAGCTGTTGTTTACCAGTCCTGTGCTAAACGATAAATATTGAAGTGTCTGGAAAGTAATTTTGCAGACAGGAGTGATGACTTACCATCAATTATGATGTGTTTTGTTTACTTCTGGAAGATTAAAAACAAGAACGTTACAAATTGCCAATAAAACCGATGACAAGGTTTCACAAAATTGGCCAATATTGATGATGGAGGTGAATTTGAGCTGTCACTAGAATAAAGAGGAAAACTCAAAATTGGTTTATATTGATGATTGAGGTGAATTTGAACTGTCACTAGAATAAAGAGGAAAACTATGTTGGATATGGGTAGAAATTTTAACTTGAAACGCGCCACCTACAGATTTATCAAAAAGTTGTTAAGTTTTCTTTAACTTGCAGAGAGCGTGGCACTCAGATTAAAATAATTTACGTTCTCGTTCTGACCTAACATGACTGCGTATTTATGCATTCTACACAACCAATCGAACGCTCCTCATAATCATGGGTTTTACTGTCGCTTCTGGGGAAGTGCAGATGACCATATCTCTCTACCCCAATCAACACTACGACAATTGCTCGAAGTATTGCTCGTTGTGAAAATGTTTGTTTTATCAAACAGCACTAAAGATTAAAATAGTGAAAGTTCTTTTAAAAAATATAAATAACATCGGAGGTTGGTTGACTCATCTAGAGTTCCACTAATTCTTTTTTTTTTTAAATATAAAACAATCTTTAACAAAACTAGATCAACTTTCTGTATATGAGTTACAAATTAAAGGGAAGTCACAAGTAGACAAATCAATTTCAGAATTGCTTAAAATATATAAGACGGGTTTTTATCTTCAATTTTGAAATTCCTTATACGTTATTTGATATCTTAGGATTATCAAATCTTAATGTTTGTTAGAGCTATACCGGCGTTTACATACGATGGAGTATTATTGAAATTGTTAAATGATCCAATGATAATGTATGACCTTTGTGTGCCATGCATTATGCTCATGCTGGTATTTTCAAGTATATGGTCTTTAGTTATAGATAGAAGCCAGTTTTGGCTGGTAGGGTTCTAAATCTTGTACTATGTTTTTAAATGTATCGAAATGGCATATGATGATCTTGACGTTATATGACAAAATGATAGCAGGATAACTTAAATGACAACGCAGCACAGTTTCATGTAAGATTAGCATATGGTCTTCACCGACGAGCAAGTGCCAATAGAATATACTTTATTCCAAATTACTGGGCTCACAAGGGACAACAAATCTTAACAATAAACAAGTACAAAAGAACAATACTTGAGGGAAAGAATTACTGGATTAATAGAATATAAATGCGACAAATAAAAAAAAAAAAACCATACATTATTTTTCTTGTACATAATTATTGAAAAAGTCAATATCATTTACACAAAGCAATACAGATATCTTGGGTAAGAATTTAAAAGAAGTTTAAAGCGTTTGATAACATAAAGATTTACTCAGAAACATGAGAAAATATAAAATACATTTGTCCTCATTATTGAATATATAAAAGAACTTTTCCACCTCGTTTAACTGGCTAAAATTTTCCCCTTTATTGGATATGATAGTAAAAACTTGTTTTCGCTCCCTGTGGTATTTGTCACATTTAATTAATAAATGAGCTGCGTTGGATAGAAATCGACCTTATGCAAGTTCATGCATACATGTACATGTATAAACCTTTGATTAATTTTGGAACATTCAAATACGAAATAAAAGATGAATTTTGGTCTGTTCTGTAGGGTTCTTTATATAACAACTCAATTTTCACAGTTACAGACTTTCCGTAGAGATTTAATCAACCCAAAATAGGTTAACAGATGTATTGATATTTATTTGCATAAGATCGATTTCTATCCGACGCAGCTCATATGTTAATAATTTTTCAGCAGTTTACATCAAATTCTATTTTCTTTCGATTTATTTTTATAATTTAATTTTGGATGTAACACGTCTTCTGATTGGTTGAAAGTTTTTTGTCTATCATATGTAATATTCACGGCAAATATAAAATGCATCATTTCTCTAATAGTAAGCTTAGGCATATATGCAAAAAGTTTCTTAAAATTGCCACACATTATACAAATATAGATAACTGTTTTGAAAAATTAAGACACATTTTAAAAAGGGATGTCCAGCAAGATTAAGATACCGAATATAACATGCTAAGGGAAGAAATGCATATTTTACCGTTTACAGACTCAATCTAGATATATAGAGATAGAACTGAGTAGCGAAGATTTCAATAAATATATATACTGGACCTGTTTCATTTCAAAATTATCTATTTCCTTTCAACAGGAAGAAACTTAACTTTTTTTTAATTTGATTGAATATGCGATTAATAGGTTATTGATTGCTTAACGTCTTGTGGGAAATATTTCAGGCATATTAAGGACGAATGTTTAATTTGATTAAACAATCTATGACTGAAAATCGATGTAAAAAAAGGAAAGATATTGAAACATATTGTTTTCGTATTTACCAAAATGTTAACAAGGAAACTGACGTTTCTCGTTTTTTTTTATATAGATTAGACCGTTGGTTTTCCCGTTTGAATGGTTTTACACTAGTAATTTTTGGAGCCCTTTATAGCTTGCTGTTCGGTGAGAGCCAAGGCTCCGTGTTGAAGACCTTACTTTGACCTATAATGGTTTACTTTTATAAATTTTGACTTGGATGGAGAGTTGTCTCATTGGTACTCATACCACATCTTCTTATATCCAATTACAAGACGTTATGACTTTTGCACCTGACCTTTGCAGTTAAGGTACATGATAATTTTCAACATCTCAAGGTTATCACATGCGCAATATGTAAAGTGTTCGCCAGGCCGGTTCTTTTTTTTTTCTTGTGTTTTGATCGGGTTTTCTTTTTTCGAGTAGGTCCACTTGTTTGCGTGAATAGGGAATATGATGTGAAATGTGCACAAACAGATTTCTATTCTGGTAAGACATGAAACCGATGATTTGGATAAATATATTAATAATGTGCTTTGTGTCTTGATTTTGATACTTTGAGCCGATCTGACGAGTCAAGTCCTTTTCCAATCTATTACTGATTGTTCTTATTTAGTGCTGTAAACCACTGTCCAAGGTAAACACAAGGGACGGGGTTGAGCAGTTACAACCATGTTTAACCCAAACGTTTTATTAAGGGCCCAGTGATTTCTATTGTACGTACCATAATACTGCGAGGTTAAGGTAAAATGTACGGAACAGAACATTCCCTTTAAATCGACAAGGGTTGAATTTGATCACGTAGTTATATATTTGTTTTTGGTCTTTTATGAATATGTATTCATGTCAGTCACTTTCATAGAGTAATTAAAAAAAGTTTGTTTTCAAGGCCACAAATGCTTTTGATTTTTGTTTCTATTTTCCTTGTCAAACCCGGATTAGTTCTGAAAAAAATTGCCGTTTTAATTGTAGTACTCGAAAAAACTTTGACAATGTAAAAAAGCTGAATTTTAGGTGAAATAGTAGAATTAGTCTGACTATGGTGAATTAAAGTGATAAACTTGCGATATAAGAGGAAATCGATTTGATTGCTTCTTTTTTGAATCAAAACATTGCTTCTTTTTTGAATCAAAACAGAATTTGGTCTGCACTCAAAAAAACTGGACCGATTCACGTAAGAAAACACAGTCCCAACCAGAAAATATACCTACTTTGATATTATCTATATTTTTTGCAATATGATTACAAAAAATATTATGAAAAATTAGTTTCCTGGGGCCTGGTTTTCGAAACTATCCTAAGATATGTAATAAGATATATCTTAGGACAAATTTTATGACCATCTTATGACTATCATATGATATATCATAGAATGTAAATCAAAGGTGTCCTAAGATAGTCATACCTATGATGCTCTTATGACTGTCATAAGTGAACATATTTTATTTTAGTTTAAATAATGATTAAAAAATGATAAAAATATCTATAAAGATAAAAAGTATAAAAATAATAATCATTAGATCTACTATTATTATTATTTACGAATATTTTATTGTTTGATTATACTGCATATGATATTATAATTCAAAAGGAATTACAATCTGAGTTGATAATTTGTTTAAATTTAGTTTGTATATATATGATAGAATTCTATAACTTGTAGAATAACTATGCAATACTATATACTATATGTATACTACACAATGCAATATTATTGTGGAAGAGATTCTTTCACATTACAATACAATTTTATTTTTTAAGAGATTATTTCAAATCACAATACACTATTATTGTTAAAGAGATTATTGCACATCCCAATACCATTTTATTGTTTAAGAGATTCTTTCATCTAATTGTTCAATAGATTCTTTAAAGTCATCAATCAGAGATTCTTTAAAGTCATCAATCAGATAAGGTAATTTAGTAATCTGAAATCAATCAATAGTATGTCACGGAACCAAACAAGGAAATAGAATGTAATTATTGGACAAGGAAGAATATATACACGTATTTCTGTCACAAATATTTAAAGAACTGTAGTACTCATTTGAAATACGTACATTGTTTAATGTTTAGGTAACTTATTTCTACAATCTTTTTCATGTAATTTCTTTCTTTATACCATGTATACGTAAGATAAATATTTGACTGGTTTCCAGAGAAATTTTTAAAAACATACTGGTAATGAAGAGCATTCCCCTCATTCATTTAGCATCTGATGCTGCTACATAGGACTAAATAAAACAAAACAAGAAAAAGTGCTAAAATTATCTACAGAAAAATTCTTTCTCGAAATAACGATGTAGAAAGACCGAATATTGTCCCCTGCGCCCAAAAAAGGCAACATGTTCAAAAATATAATTTAGAAGAAACGCTGTTAAGTCTTGAGATTTATAACGTATATTTTGGTTGATAAATTCGCATTTTTTATTCTTTAAAATTACCATTTTTATTTGAGTTATGGAACGTTGACCATTTTGTGGACTAAAATTATACTCGTGAACGCAACTCCTTTGATACCATTTGCCCAAAAAGCTTTCATACTTGGTAGGATTGTTAGCCATCAGATGTAGTTGACCCTATTATACTGTTGACCCTTTTTATTAGAGTTCTGGGACTTCGACTTTTTTTTACGACTTTTGTACCACAATGGTCTACCTAAAAGCTCATAGAAATCTTGTTTTGATAGTTTTGAAGCTGCCTCATTAACTATTCTCCTCATGTCCTTCCATTGATCTCATATTATTTAACTCTATAACATCTCATTGAAAGTATTTTGTCAGTAATAAAACTGCACACACATCTTCGCTAGCCAAGGGTTACGATCCACTTCCCTCCTCTCCACCCTTGGCGGATTGAGATAGAATTTCGGAGACACAAGGTAATGATTTTCATTGGTTGCAGTCGAAACTCACTGCATTCAATCAAAAAGCGTCTATAACATGATCACGTGTAAATGTAGAAAGTGTATGTAAACAATTACCACGTGCTTATTGTGCAACAAGTCTTTACATCCCTAAACATACGACTATATTTAGTGACAACTTGAATGTTTTTAATCAACTAATAGAAGTTCCTGTGTATGTTTCTTGCACAAATGCATTAATGTCAACGTATATTTTCGTTTCCTGCTTTACCAAGTGTGTAGAATCTAGACGCTACCGTGTTTTTACCTCCAAATTGAAGAGTTCAAGTGCTACCATTGGCCAAGAATAATGTATTAGGAATGGGCGTGACTTTAATCTACCGATAGATGGCGCAACATTGTTACCACAAATGTTGGCTTAATCTGCCAAGGGTGGAGAGGAGGGAAGTGGATCGTAACCCTTGGTTAGCGAAGATGCTGCACACAGTGCATGCGCAGTTTTTGTTTAAACGCTTTTAGTTATTGTATCTAATTATACAATTAACTTATTACTGGACGACTTTCTTTTGGAGAGGGACTAGTCAAGATATATTACTAATAATTCCTATAAATTAAATAGCGCCTTCATTTCGCCTTCCAAATTTGATATACATTTCAGCTCATCAAAACATTGCGCGAGTTCGATTGAAGCAGAGGGGAATGTTCGATTTAAGCAGAGGGGAATCATACCTATGCAAGCATTACTCAAAATGATATAGGCCCCTAACAGTTTAATCTTTCTTCCGCTTACTAAAAAATACATAGCCAAAATAACTGACGTAAAGTTGATAAGAAAAACAAATATAGGAGGAAATAAAAAATGTTGATATTATTTATTCACCGTGCTTATTATCAGTTCGCTAATAAAATATTTTTGTACAAAAACAAAACTATTAACCAATCAAATGCATTAAACATCGTACTTCTTGTTTTTTTTTACTTTGACCCTTGGAACACCGATTACAAGTACATTTCTCTATCATGTTGTAAAGAGAATAACAAATAAATAATTTCACTTTCCTTGATGTATTTGATTAGCGACTAAATGTAGACATCTTGGATTGTAAAATAGCAGCATATAATCGGTCTAGTTCTTTGCTTAATTTTAAGCCTGCAAATTTTGAGACAGTTTTGAAATTTATGTGTATTTTTCTTTATTTAAACAAAGAAAAAATAATGGTTTATTGTATTATTAGGAGTATATTTTTACAAATGCCAAATATTGTTTTTATTCGATTCAATTTTTCAACGGGGAGATACCTCTTATAGTAAAATTTTATAAAGGAATGTTATTGAAATTTTATATTTTAATTGGAGCAAGAAAATAACGTCGGGGATATCATTTTTTCTTTTTATTTTCCGAAAGCATTTCAAAAACCTATTTTCTCATATCTTATTTCAAAATTCTCTCTGATATATTTCTTTTTTCCCCCAAAAAAGTGTTTTTTCATGGGCAATATTGCACAACTAGTAGCTTGAGAAATTGCACGGTGACCCATACTTTCTATTAAACTATTTTTTGAAAACAGCATGGTAAAATATACATTTTGGCAAAGTATAAAAAAAATTGTATATCAAGAAATATTTATTGATGATCCATCTTAAAAATTTCATTTGAAATGAATATCAGTAGATATGGGGTGTACGTCAATAAGACAGCAACCCAACGTCAGCGATTTTTTTCCCCAAAAGACCTGCAGAGATCAGCATACGGTCTTTCAACAACAGACATAGATGTGTAAAAAATTTCAAGGTCTTAATCGCCCCGTCCGAGTCCCAACACAGTTGTGAATGAATGTTACAGAGTCCATCTGCAATCAACGTCAAGTTCTCCAAAAGGGAGAAAACCAAACATTCTATAATGCTTCATTTTTTCTATATAGGATTTTTTTTTTATTATACAAATCAACTTGTGGCTTTACAGTACTATTCATGCCTACATTGAACTATAGATACCGATATCACAGTATCAGACAACATAGTTCATGACTGTATTATACCTACATTGAACTATAGATCTATACCGATAGCACAGTATCAGACAACGTAGTTCATGACTGTATTATACCTACATTGACCTATAGGTACTGATAGCACAGTATCAGACAACATAGTTCATGACTGTATCGTACCTACATTTAACTATAGATACCGATATCACAGTATCAGACAACATAGTTCATGACTGTATTATACCTACATTGAACTATAGATACCGATATTACAGTATCAGACAATATAGTGCATGACTGTGTTATACCTACATTGAACTATAGGTTCTGATATCACAGTATCAGACAACATAGTTCATGACTGTATTATACCTACATTGAACTATAGATACCGTTAGCACAGTATCAGACAACATAGTTCATGACTGTATTATACCTATACATTGAACTATAGATACCGATATAACAGTATCAGACAACATAGTTCATGACTGTATCATACCTACATTGAACTATAGATAGCGATAGCACAGTATCAGACAACATAGTTCATGACTGTATTATACCTATACATTGAACTATAGATACCGATATAACAGTATCAGACAACATAGTTCATGACTGTATCATACCTACATTGAACTATAGATACCGATATCACAGTATCAGACAACATAGTTCATGACTGTATTATACCTACATTGAACTATAGATACCGATATAACAGTATCAGACAACATAGTTCATGACTGTATTATACCTACATTGAACTATAGATACCGATATCACAGTATCAGACAACATAGTTCATGACTGTATTATACCTACATTGAACTATAGATACCGATATCACAGTATCAGACAACATAGTTCATGACTGTATTATACCTACATTGAACTATAGATACCGATATAACAGTATCAGACAACATAGTTCATGACTGTATTATACCTACATTGAACTATAGATACCGATATCACAGTATCAGACAACATAGTTCATGACTGTATTATACCTACATTGAACTATAGATACCGATATCACAGTATCAGACAACATAGTTCATGACTGTATTATACCTACATTGAACTATAGGTTCCGATATCACAGTATCAGACAACATAGTTCATGACTGTATTATACCTACATTGAACTATAGATACCGACATAACAGTATCAGACAACATAGTTCATGACTGTATTATACCTATACAATGAACTATAGATGCCGATATTAAACTATCAGACAACATATTTTCTATATCAACGGAATTAGTCTTTGTGCGAGTTTACAGTTACTGCAACACAGGCACTTGTCTCTGAAAAAAAATTACCTGTATACTTTAGTATAATACAGTTTATACGTTTTTTATTCAGTTACAAGTGCCTGTGAACTACAAGCGTTCTTTCTTTCCTCGTTATTAAGTATTTGTTTACTTGCACCTGTGTTGGGTTGTTTATTATGTCAATATAATTGAATGAAGTACCTGCTATCAAAGTTTCTTATGCATTTCGGTTCCTTCTATCAAACTATGAACAAGATAAAAGCCTAGTTATTACCCCGACAATGGATGTTTATATTTATAATTTGGTGTTGGATGTTCGTCTTTGGTGTTCAGATTAATTCATTTTTTAACTTGTATGGAAATGGGCCGATTTAGGATTTGACATATAATATAATAAACATGTATTCGAGAACTTGCGTTTCCTTACATGATTCCTTAATAGAAGGGTGCTTCTTACAAGTAAACTATTAAACCAAGGGTTCCAAGTGGTAAAGTTGAAAGTCGACCCTATTTTTGTTTAAAAGGTGTTTGTGTTGCTCTTGGTTGAGTTTTCAGATTTTTACTTTGCTTCTTTATTATTTTTGAATGTCTGTTTTATTTTACTGTTAACCAGTATAGCCTATCCTTTGTCCTGAAAACGTGTTTTAATTTCAAAATTTCTCATTCGTTCAGATTTACATGATGGTTTACGAATTTGATGATGTCTTACGGTTAGATATGAGACACCAGCTTTATAATCTTTTTTTTTAACACGACGAAAAATGGAGTAAAACAACTTTTGACTAGAAGCGAATCCGTTTGCAATTTTTGTTTTGTTTTATGATTCAATGCGTAATGTTTCACAGGCATTAACATTGTTTTTGCTTTTGTTTAAGAAAAATCCCTCTCCGTATTCTTTGCATCAGTTTTTAAAAAAACATCCAATAGTAACGAATTATTAAAGTTTCACCATGGAAAATTCGCCAATTTCTTCGTAACCTTTTCTGTAGTTGAATTTTATCAAAGCGTTCAGCGTTAGTATCAATACAAAACAAAATCCTGATATAGATAGAGATAGCAACTCAGCTATAGACAAGCCGTGACACTCTTCATATGTTGGATCAAAATCAACAAGCAGTGTCCCATTGTTTTGAGGTGAATGACATTCGTAAAATACGAAAGCAGTAGAGTTGTCCTTAGAAAGCGCATCAAGTATCCCATAATGATCTCTCATCCAAGAACGAAACCAATGGGTTGAGCAATCACATTTAAAGAGGTTGCCACTTAAATGAAGATGTATAAGCTGTTTCACAAACTGCTGCGGAAATGAGGTTTCATTTATTGTAATAATACGATTTTGGCTTAGATAAAGCTTTTTGAATGTTTCTGGCATATCAATGAAACATGTTTTATTCCAACCCGCAATGTAATTTTTCGACAAATCTATAAATTCCAAGGATTTTATAGCTCTAAGAAGATTACAAGGAACTTGCGTTAATGATGTGTTATATAAATTCAAGCTTTTTAGTTCTGACAAAGGATTTAACAATTGCAGGAGATCATTTTCCGTCCAGTTTACTAGGTCAGTTCCACTTAAAAATAGAAATGATATGTTCCTTGAGATATTAAAAACGTTTATTACTTCTTCCACTGGATTAAAAGAGAACGAATTGCTAATGTCAAGTAGATCCAGCCGTGAACATTTTATTCCTGGAAATGTTGTATTGAAAGCTTGAAAGTTTGCAATCCAAAGTTTTCTTAGCTTTTGCAATCTGGAGAACACATTTCGATTGAAGTTTTTAACCGGATTTAAAGAAAGTACTAAACTATTTAGCATTGGGTACTGTTCGCCATGATCATAAAATGCTTCTAAAGACGTTTCATTTATCAGATTACGTCGCAGTGATAACGATTTAAGACTGTTATTAGTTTCGTTTGTTTGCAATATTTGATGTAAGTTATTAATTTTACAGGCATCTGCTCGAAACCTTTTTAGTTTATGAAGGAAAGAAAATGAAACATTTTCGCTTAAATTGTTTCCAGAAATGGATAGACTGAGTTTAGATAATTTTGACGCCTGTTCAACACTCGTGAATATGTCTATAAAGGCATTTGTTTCCAATTCATTATATCCAATATCGAAAACCATAAGGTTTGTTAAATTCTCGAAAAGATTTTCGCATTGAATTGACTTTATTTTGCAGTTTCTAAAATATAAACGTTTTACGCTGTTTGGTATAGGAGAAAAATCGTCGCATGTCAATTCCGGTATGTTGTTATCGTTAAAATTAATACAAGTTGTGTTGTTCCTGTAACTTAATTTGCGCAAATCACGTACATGACTACCACTTCTATTTGAGAGGTTATAACTATTTTCATCACATTTACACGCATCGTTTTTTGGATTACAATCTTTTAAGCCGCCAAGTATCTGAACGATCAACAGAAAAAACAAAGCTTTGAAAAGAAATAAACCGTGTCTTCTATCCATACTGACTATCTGAATACATCATTAAAGTACTGAAATAAGAAAAATAGCTTAAATGTTAAGCATAATTATAGATTTTATAGATTATTTAAACATAAAATACACTAATTCCATTAAGCTATTATAACTAACCAGTGGCGTAGCTACCTAAGGCTCGACTAGGCACGTGTGTATACATAAATTTGCCAATTAGAGGTTCCCGATCCAACACTTTAACATTCTACACAGAAGACAGGCGCTAGGTTTTCAATATGATGGGCATTTTATTCTAAACAATAAGTATTTTTCATACTGTATTAAACTGCTCACAAAATTTAACCTGCACACAGAATATGAATATGCGTCGATTAAGTCGATTAAAATGAAAACATTTTTTTTCTTAATTAATGTGCAGCAAAACTCTGCTTGTTATTTTCTTTAGAAATCCGTTTAGTTGCACATATTTCTCAAACAACCATTAACTAGACTTACTAGTATCACCTGGTTTGTATTAACATGAGCAACACGACGGGTGCCACATGTGGAGCAGGATCTGCTTACCCTTCCAGAGCACCTGAGATCACCCCCAGTTTTTGTTGGGGTTCGTGTTGCTCAGTCTTTAGTTTTCAATGTTGTGTTTTATGTACTGTTTTTTGTCTGTTGTTGTTTTTTTTTTCTTGCCATAGCCTTGTCAGTTTTTTTAAGACTTTTTCGAATATGAATGTCCCTTTGGTATCTTTCGCCTCTCTTTTATCATAATGACAAACAAAAAATTGAAGAATGTCTAGGGCCTTTTACGTCTTCAATCATTTGTCCATTGCTGTTATATATGTGATCATTGCAACTGTCCAACAGACAACTTTGTGTGTATGCGTGTAGTCTATTTAACGTATACAAAACTCGCTTAACCCCGCCAAATTCTACACATATACCTGTCGAAAATAAATAATAATAAATAATTAAAGATTTATTTAATGTCGGGTATACATATAATCAAGGAATTGTATATTTAAAAGGAATGGAAACGCGACCGACTTCAAAGAGAATTGTATGATGCATCTTTGTTTCGGGCGATGTGTCAATCCTTGCATTAATTATGAAACTTGGCCATTTAGTCTGATGCCATTTATCAAACTTTACTAGCAGTCACTGGTATAATATACACTAAAAGAGTGATCTACAAATGTATGCCTTCTGAGTGGCAGACTTTCAATTTGGGTATAAATGTTTTTCCCCAAAAAATGGTAATTGCGTTGTTTTCAAAAGGTCATATTGCAAAAACGCAGTTGCGTACTCATCTCATCGAAAATTATTTTTCTGCATAAAATGGTCCGATAATTTTTCGCCTAGCTCCGCTCGGCAAATAGTGCCTACACTTTAATCCCAGTTTAGCTACGCCCCTGCTAAACATATGCTTATATGCCTGTCCCAAGTAAGGGACCTGTTGAGTAGTTGTCATCTTAATGCGTGTTTGGTGGGTTGTTTTGGGAATTCGGTGTTGATTGCAGATCTTTTAAAGTCTCTATCAATTTTATCCACTGCTCTTTTTGATTCGAGGGAGATTTATAGCTTGGCATACTGTATAAACACTGTCCCGTTCATGACCTTACTATTTTTTACCTATATATGTGTTTTTAGTTTTTCGTGCTGTTGGATTGTTTTTGTCTGCGCATCATTTTTTTAAAAATCAAACAAACAACGTTTTTATTATTTTATCGTCACAGTTTCCTAATCATAAGGAATTACAAATTTATTAAACTGAAAAGAACATACTTTTTGTGTATGTAACATTGGCAAAATTGTCCTCAACAACAATATGTGGCACCGCATATCATTTTGATTTTATGGAGATATGATATTTTGCTGACACATGTTAAATTTAAGTATATCATTAGTTACACAGTGTGCTAGTGACCTAATACGATATATATGGGGTAAGTAAATAAATAGTACACTGTGTAACGAATTTATCTTACCGACTATCTTAAAATGTGCATTTAGACTAGTGGACTATCAAAGTGATCAATACAAAAACAAATGCCAACAATAACAACTTGTTAGCTTTTAAAATGTGTTTTCTGCATTTACTTCAATCGTTCATCATCAATACCTCCATATGTTGTCCGGGTTAAACGTTTCAGATTTTTCCTCAACGCCGTTATAAAGGGACGTAACACCACTACTAACCATGTAATAAAATAGACCACGCCTACTAACCCCATATGAAATATAACACGGTCTCCACGTGGTCGCTTTTAACCAATGATGTTCCGAGAAATGTATAGGAGGTAAGATATAAAATATTAGATATCACGGATAACATGAATCACCAAAAGTTCTGGACAGTACGTTCAATCACATAAACACAACGACTCTTTCGAAAAATAAAATAAGGCACACAAAAAGAAAAACAATGAAGCAAATGTAGAATGTCTGTGATCTTTAATATTCTAATTCCAGTAGGTCTTAACTACTCTTTGATTATGATACTGAGTGAAACTCATACAGGGAAAATTGGCTCTAACTAGTTTTTAATCGATGCTCCGTTTCATACGCTTCATTTTAACAGTGCGATTTGTTAAGATACATTCTTGAACAGATATGTCATGTTATGAAGGGGTATTTGCGAAAAATACCAGTCAAGGGGCTGTAAAATTTCCCGAACCGCCAGTCGAGGGAAATTCGGTCCCAAGACTGGTATTTTTCGCAAATACCCCTCCATAACATGATATATCTGTTTAATTACACCGAATAGATTTGGATTGAATCTAATTCATAAACATGTTTATGCATAATTTTGAGGATAAGAGGATATTATCATAGAACCGCGGGAATTATACACGTAGTAATACGCGTTAGCTCACTTTTTTATGTAACGTCATATCCGAATTTTTGGCGGGAAAATGCTCGAGAGGGTAAAAAAAGGGATATCCAAAATGGCAAATACAATGGTATTTGAGTCAAATTCACCGGCATTGGTGAAAAACAGGCAAATTCGTTTGAAATGAGGAAAAAATATTAGAATATGTGAAAAATACACTGACTATCAACCAATCAAAATCTGGCTTTCTTATATAAGGTGTAATTATGTCCAAAATCTATCTACTTTTTTGTTGCTTTAACACACTGACTTTAGCATGAGTAACACGACGGTCGTCATTAGGGAAGCATTAATGGCTTACCCTACCGTTGTATTTGAATTTCACAGCGATTTTTTGTTGAAGTTTAAGTTGGTTTTTTTTAGTTTGTGCTGTGCCTTTTTTAACATGGTATGCGTGTTCATTGTCCTCTTTGTATCTTCCTCCTTTTTTCTATAATACTACTTGCTAAATGGTAAATACTAACTCGCAAATAAGTACAATCGTTGTTCAATTCATATAGCTTGTGTTTTTACACAGTAATCTTTTGAGAAAATGTCTGTAGCAAGTCAGGAATATGACAGTTGTTTTCCATTTGTTTCATAGTTGTTATAGTCTAACTTTTGATTTTGCCAGTTTTTAAAGGACTTTCCCCTTTTTGAATTTACCTTGGAGGTTGATTTTGTGTTAATACTGTTTTTGAGACCTAGAAAATAAACAGACTTACCTACAGATACTAAGGACATTGATGTGTAAAACGAGGAAGTAACATCCTTATATCGATATACACATGACATGAATTATTTGAATTTAAATGTAATCAAGTTACAATGAGCTACTAGTATATAATTATCTACTTAAATTCTCAATGTATATACATTTAAATTCATACGATTAGTGACAAAATATATCTTCCTTCATATAATGATTTTATTTTGTTTCCCTTTTGACAATAAATAAATACGAGTAAAACAATAAATGTTCACTGTTGATAATTTTCGATACCTTTACCCGGGGCGAACAAGGACTGTTTTGTATATTCAAAAGATATCTACCTGGTAAGGTATGTCTTGAAAAACGATACGACTTTTCATCCTCGTCAGGGTTACCGTAATTTTATTGCATTTTCTAAAAGACAACCACAAAGTTTTTCATTTAAACCCCATTTTACCAAGTAAAGAAGTTTTTTTTATTAATATGTAACTGGTTTTTCTTTACTTGATCATTTTAAACCTCAAGAAAAATGATTAAATAAAACAGGATTTATCTTTATATAACTGTTATTTTTAGTTTAATACTTTTAAAGTGGTATACGTTAATTTCAGCTTCGTTATTACTGAATTTTAGTTTCACTTTCTAAACAGATATACTGAAAAAGTATTCTATTCTTTCAAATGTAGTTATCCAGTATGAAGGTAAAAAGCATAGAAAAGGCGAGAAGAAAAAAATAATAATAAAAAACGAATGATTCGGCTGTAAATTTAGGCAACAGTATTTCAAATGTCATAAATCGTGTAAGAAGGTGCGTCGACTAGGTAAGCGTCTACTGCTATGCACACATTATCCTGCATACGAATCCACGCTCAGTCAAAATGTCACAGTCGAGAAATTTTCATATCAGATAACTATACTGGTACCTTAAGATCTAGGACCGCAAAACACGTTGCTAGTGAGTTGAGACACCGACACATCTTACCGTTCAAACAATTCGTAATGGTGACCGTAACACTAATGTAGTGCCGATTTCTTCCTCATAAATCTGTTGTGACAGTTTATGTATTGTGAACACACCCCTTTTAATGAAGTCCGTATAGTGTGATCCTGCACGAGCGTATGTAACGTATATATTTAATAACTGAGATGTGTAAACACTATATGATGGAGGACAGAGTATGTTACTGGTGACAAAATAAATGAAAAGTTGATAATTTTTAAGTTGTGATCTCTAATTAACTTAAAAAAATAATTTGGTATGTAATCATATTTCTGTTTCAACACTATAGATACAATTTGAATTACTGCTTTATAAGTTTTAATGATAAAGATATTATATTTATAATTATATCTTGTAAATGATAAAAGAATCCCACTAAACTACTTCCTTCCTTTTATTTCAAAACAAAATCACTTCCTTCGGTAGGTAAAACAATTAAATGTATAAAATGATAAAAAGTGTACATTCGTAAGGTACTATTTAAAAATATTGATTTTTTTTTATTAGTAAATAAAATCAGAAATTTTAGATAAATGTTTTACAAGAATTATTTTTAAAAAAATACAAGTAAAAACCGCTACACAGAAAATTAAAAACTGAGCAATTAAAAACCCTACCATAAACCATTTTAAGTTGACCTTAAAATTTAAAATCCGACAAAAATGTCAATAAAACTGACGTTATTGTTGTTGGTATTTAAATAACAATGAATCAATATTTATAATTATATCCTGTTAATGATATAAGAATTCACAAAACAAATCCTTTCCTTTTATATCTAAACAAAATCACTTCCTTGCATAGATAAAAACAATCAAATGTTTAAAATGATAAAAGTGTACATTCGTGAGGTAATATTTAAAGATATTATTTTGTTTATTAGTAAATAAAATCAGAAATTTTACCTAAATGTTTTACCAGAATTATTTTTATAACAGTACAAGAAGAAAAAAACAATACACAGAAAATCAGAAACTGAGCAACACGAACCCTTCCATAAACCTTTTTAAATTAACCTTAAAATTTAAGATTCGGAAAAAATATTTCAATAAAGCTGACGTTTTTTTGAATATTTAAAAAACAGTGAATCAACAATCACGTCCACATATTTTGGAGGTACCAACACAAAATATGGTTTAAAAAAATAGCCAAATGGTTTAGGGCTACGTTTGCATAAAGAAGACCAAAGGGATATTTAAACTCACAAGACGAAAACAAACTGCCAATGCCATGGCAAAAAAAAAAGAAAAAAAAAAACGATCGAAAGACAAACACAACATAGAAAAAATAGATTGAGCAACACAAACCCCACCAAAAACCGGAGGTGATCTCAGGTGCTCCCGTAGGGTAATCAGATCTTGCTCCACATGAGGCTCCCGTTGTCTCTTTCTCGTATGAGTACAAACCCGGTTATTATTCTAATTCGGTACGTCATATTTGATGAAAAGAGGATGGGATTGTGGTTATGACAATTGAAACATATCTGTCGTCATCTTTGAAACAGATATTTCATAACGGTCAACCAACAGATGATGGCGTCCGTAAAATTATCAACTAGGAAGACACATACTCCATATGCAGGCACTGCTGGAATGTTGTTGCAAAGAAATTGAAATTTTACAAAAACGACAAAATAACAAATAAGTCTACAAAACACAAACCAATACATAGAAAACTAAAGACTTAGCAACATGAATCTCAAAAGTTCTTTCCTTTCATAATTTGTCACAGTGTGTTAATAAACCATTACAATTTTTTTCAGTCAATTAAAGATGACAGGAAACAGCAAATTACTTTTTGTAACTCGTGTCTACGATAAGAAAAAATACGGTTCGATTGTTCAGATTTATTTAATTACAAACGTAGTATCTGTATCTATTGTTAAGGTATTTTAGACATTTTTAAAATTTTGATAACTGTTATTTTAAAAATATATGTGCTGTTAACTGTTATTGACTAATTAGCTGTTTTCTTAAAATTGACATAGTTGTTAACTGTTAACTATGAAAAAAATTACCCCTGTTAGCTGTTAATCGTGTGTACACCGTTAACTGTTTTTATTTTAAAATCAGTCGGGTCCAGGACCAATCCAGTAAATCTTATTATAATCCTTTGTAATGATTCCCATTTTCAATGTATGTATCTAGAGTTATCTAGAATTGGTTTACTCAATCTATGATAATAATTTTTTGTCATGGAATACTTTTCTTAGCATAATTTTTGTACTTTCAAAGAAACTCGCACGTGCTTGTAATTTAAATAGTGTGTGTATTCTAGAAAAGAATTTAAGAGCTGAGTCTGTGTTCCTTATAATATAAAGGTGTTTCGGTTAATGTCCTATGGACGTGAATCAGATGTGGATACTAAAAAATTCCAAAGATCTTTTAGAGTACATATAATCTAAGACTCTCTCATCTTGCAATAGTATTAATACATTTGACTTTTCTACACTTTACACAAGTATTCCCCATTCCAAACAAAAAGACAAATTGAAAGAGTTGGTATTACTTTGTTTCATTAAAAAGAATGGCGAACGTAGATACAAGTATCTTGTCTTGGGGAAGGATAAATCCTACTTTGTAAAGAATCACTCTGATTCAAACAAAACATTCTCTGAAACTGACATTATCAAGATGCTTGAATTCTTGATTGACAACATATTTGTTACGTTTTGAGGACGTGTTTTTCAACAGACTGTCGGAATTCCAATGGGAACCAAGTGTGCCCCTCTTCTTGCCGACTTGTTTCTTTATTCGTATGAGGCCGACTTCATACAGGAACTTCTTAGGAAGAAAGATAAGAAGTTAGCAATATCTTTTAACTCTACGTTCCGCTATATAGATGATGTTCTCTCACTAAATAATACAAAATTTGGTGACTATGTTGAAAGAATCTATCCCATCGAACTAGAGATAAAGGATACTACAGATACAGTTAAGTCTGCCTCATATCTTGACTTACATCTAGAAATTGACAATGAGGGTCGGTTGAAAACAAAACTTTACGACAAAAGAGATAATTTCACCTTCCCAATTGTGAACTTTCCAGCAGCGCTTGCATACGGAGTATATATCTCCCAATTGATACGATATTCCCGGGCTTGTATTTCCGATCATGATTTCCTTGATAGAGGATTGCTGCTTACAAGGAAGCTATTAAACCAAGAGTTCCAAATGGTGAAGTTGAAATCATCCCTTCGTAAATTTTACGGACGCCATCACGAGTTGGTTGACCGTTATGGAATAACCGTTTCACAGATGATATCGGATATGTTCCTTATGTCGTAACTTCAATACCCTTCCCTTTTCATGAATGTGACCTACCGAATTAGACTATTTACCGGATTTGTAATAACATAAGCAACACGACGGGTGCCTACATGTGGAGCAGGATCTGCTTACTCTTCCGGAGCACCTGAGATCATCCCCAGTTTTTGGTGGGGTTCGTGTTGCTTAGTCTTTAGTTTTCTATGTTGTGTCATCTGTACTATTATTTGTCTGTTTGTCTTTTTATTTTTGGCCATGGCGTTGTCAGTTTGTTTTCGATCTGTGAGTTTGACTGTCCCTCTCGTATCTTTCGTCCCTCTTCTAAAAGTATCCAATTTTTATAACTGTCTTCAAAGGTGAACTATTTGAAAAAAATCTAATTTTAAAAATTAAACTATATAGAAAACCAACTGATAATTTTCAATATTTTGAACGAACATCAGCCCATCCTACGTCAGTATTCAAAGTCTTCATAACTGCAGAAATTATTCGCTTTATTAGGTCTTGCAATAAATCTAAAGACTTATATGAAGAAGTTCAACTTGTTAAGTCTAAACTTCTTAAAAGAGGACATTGCGAAAATGAGTTTGACAATACTTATAACATACACACAAAAAAGCAAGAAAAGAATCTTTAAAATATTATTATAAAATTTGATAAAGAAATTGGCTCCACCTCTCATCTTTGCAACAAGATTTGATCCGGTATAAAGGAATTTGCAGAGCTTTATACAACATTAGAACCTAATCGAACAAAACAGAAATGAATAAATACTATTTCCAAAACATTAGATTATTGCACACAGAAGACATAACAACCT